GATTGTGGAACCATTGAAACCAGATGTGACCAAGGCAAGGGATACATGTTTGTCGCAGGTAATAGCCTACAGTACTTCTTTCGAAGACTATGAATATCCTTCTTCAATGCTTTCATCATTCAGAAGTCATTTCAAACGTGCCTTCTCAAACTCCTGTCAAATGGAAGCTCGTGTATTCGCGCTCGTGTCCTGCGTGTATGTTGTTTTTAACGCTGACAAATGTCCTCAAGTCAAATTTAATAAATCAACACTTCCTTTTCCAGTTGGCTACTCTTTTGCTAAGCTGTTGTGCTGGCTGGGGAGCGACGGTGATGCAGGCGGTTCTTGAGGAAAAAGGCGAGAATATCGTTGGTGTTGTCTTCAGTGTGATTTCCATTACAAGGGCAGAAGCTACTGTAAGTTTAACATCCATATTGATGTCTCCCTCGCAATGCTTTGTTAGGTTGCGTCATATTTTGCGTCAGCATTTTAAGCATACAGCGGCGTTTTGAGCGTTTCGAGCGTGCGCCAGCGTTTTGGACGTTTCACGGGTTCTTTTGAACTTCCTGCAGGCAATCGCTGAAAACGCTGGCGTACGCTAGATCGATACCTATACTTTCTTATTGTTAGTCCGCGCTTAAAAGGCTGCTGTGCGCGCAAAAGTCTGACGCAGAACCATGAAGGCAGCCTTATGCTCAGAATTATAGGATGAAAACCGCAGAGAGACTGTAAACATATTGGTGGGATGCTTCCGTGTTCTTAATCTGGTTATGTTTTGTGACGAGAATGCAAAGAAAACGGTCACTCTTTTTGCAAGGTATGCCCTCGTTCTTGGGTTGTTCTTCAATCATCCACGGTTATTCATTTGTTGTATTTCAGAAACAGTCCAGTTTCTTTGATGGAGCTTTTGCGAACGTTTACTGAGGATAATCTTGTTGTACAGGTAATTTTGAATTTTGACTTCCTGAAAAGAATTTCCGATTTTTTTAAATATAACACTTTCGACTTGACAGTGGCAGCTAAATTGTTTGAACTGAGCTAGACGCATTTCAGCTAAAGGTTGAGGTAATTCCAAGTAATGTAAAGTAGAAGTTTAGTAGTTTTAGCGGTAGAAAAGATGGGGAAAGGTAAGAGCTCCATTTCTGTGCCGTTTATCATCCGTTTTTATGTCAGGTAATGTTCAGACTTCGCGATGAAGCGCGTCGATGCGATACCATTGCGACAGCGCTCCAATGCTATACACGCGAACGCGGCCGCAGACGGGTGGCAGACTTTTACAAATTGCTGGCGCTGGCGCTTTGCGAGAGCATAGAAGAATGGAGGAGTACCAGATTTTGTGTGGGCAGCTCTGCGAGCGACTGGCACCGATCAGTTCCCTTTGCGGCTGCATTCGCGTCCATAGGATTGAAGCGCTGTGACAATTGGAGCGCGTCGACGCGCGTCATCGCGGAGTCTAAGCGCTGCTTTAGATGAGAATGCAGGGGCTTTCTAGGAATGATTACTATGTTGGCAGGAGGCGAAAAGTCCACGTCGCCGCTAGGCTCCATTCAAAGAATTCGCATTTGCAAGGTCTTCATTACGGTAATCTGGCGAACTTCAGATTTTGGAAACCTGTGATCGAGTGGCGGATGACGAGAACCTAGCTCAACAGTGGGCCAGTGATCGATCATTAATTGATGCGAATGCTAACAGCTCTCATCCAGAGATTGGTAAGTTGTTGCTTTTTTTGTTTGTGGGATGATGTGCTCAAGGGCAGTGGGCGAAAGCTAGGGGGGAGCAGTTGTTACCAGCATCATTGGTGGAAGGGCTGCGAGAGAGCGCTTGGCCACACCTCGCCTAGGCTTTCCTCCAGTGACGTCCAGTGACAACCGCTTCCTTTAAAGATGCAAGCAACAGTGCTGAAAGGGAGTTGTCAGGAAACAATGTCAGGCCCTCTCCCTCTCCCGCTTCTTCATATCATGGAAAGCGGGGATTGACGTTGTTTCTCTGCCCCACCCAGTGATTCCCGGTGTGTGTTCTTAAAGGCACACCCCGCTCGAAGTGCCTTAAAGAGCGTCATGCTGAGTGCATAAGACGAAGAAAGGGTTTGGTCGGACGAGATCTCACCTGTTGGTGCCAACTTAAAAAGTGGCTTGATGCGACTCTCCTTCTGGTAGCGATCAGAGTCGTCTGAGCGGGGGGGGGGGGGGTTATAGTACATATGAAACAGGAAAAACCTCGAAGGAAAATACCCTTTTACCCTCCTCCCCTCGCCAATCTAGCCACCTCTTTCCTAAATTTTCCCAACTTCCTACCATTTTCCGTGAGCGGGGAAGGAGAGGATACATAGTACATATGAAACAGGAAAAGCCAAGGAAAGTCAACAACCTCACAGAAACCCATAAGGCAAATACCAAATTCGACCCCCACTCTCCCAACAATGGGCGAGTATCCCTCCCCCACATTATAGAGTTCGTGGAACAAGAGAAATCAACTATCAAAACATTTGTCAGACCAAACACGACCCTCTGCTGGGCGGGCGGCACATTTCTCACGTAGTTTTGAGCCGCGAATAAAAGCACATCCTTCATGCTTGCAGAAGAATACCATTTCAAAAGCGCTTGAACATAAAAGGCGGAGCGTGCCTTTAAATATCTGGTCTGTACTTACGATTTTCTCCTTTTTACAGCTCGCGCAGCACAGTCATTGGTGTCAAAGTTAAGTGTGGTCAACTCGGATTTCGAGCCATTAGCGGGCGTATTTGCCTCGATGGGTACCGAAGGGTTTTCTATGGAGATGTAGCTTTCCATGCTCTCATCGTGCAACGATTACCCGATTCGTGCATTATGTCCCAGTTGAAGTCATCATTTCCCCAGTGAGAGCATTACATATTGCTTGTCTTTCTGTAGTTAATCGATAATCAGTCAGCACAGCTGTAGAAATGAAACAAAATGCTCACTTAGATGACCTTTCGTATACTGTGGTTAGGTTTTTTTTTTTTTCTGGATTGTACCTTGTTGTAAATGCGGATTTGATCCGCCACAGTGTGTTTTATGTGGTTAGTTTTGTTTATTGTAGAGTTATTGTTGTACACAGGAGAGAAATCGCGTTTTTTCTTGCATATCTTCTCCTGCACCGCGATACTCAATTGATCTGTCACTTGATCTACATATGTTTGCCTCTAAGGTCGTGCTCATTCATTTCACTCCATGCGGTACGTACTGGTTCTGAATCTTATGCATAGTTTCTTTCTTGAATATTATCACGTGTATCTATGCGTTTGTTATCGATTGGATAGACAATCGCTTGATTTGTTGACGAGTTCATCATTGGTATTTTGCATACCATTTGTAATGTACCCCATCCCCCCATTTTTGGCGTTCTAGTTAACAATACGGCGATTTTCCAGTATCTGTAAAGTTATTTATGTTCTACTTTTATAGATAAAGAGCTATATCATATTTTGAAATGGCCTTCCGGCAAAGTTCGTTGATACTTCGGCTGCGTTTGTACTTTACTTCAGCGTTCTGAGCGACTAGAAAAAGTGTATATATCGATCTACCGTTTTGAGCGTACGCCAGCGTTTTTAGCGATTGCCCGCGAAAAGTTCAAAATTACCCGCGAAACGCTCAAAACGCTCATGGATTTTAATATCCGCTTAATATCCGCTGGATCAATACCTGTACTATCCTAGTCGCTCAAAACGCTGACGCAAAGTGTGAACTCAGCCTCAGAGTTTTCATTCTATTAAGAGAAGGGCACAGAACCCGTTGTGGAGAACACAATGGAGGGCTCAGAAACTACCTTGGGGAACATTTTTTTTCGTAGTTGGTTTTCGTTTTAGACTCAACGCAGGCAGAATTCTAG